CCCCTTGACTATGACTCACCATGTTTTTTCGTTCCATCAATATCCACCTTTCTACAGGAACCAAAACGAACTATCCCGAGGCCTGATTATGTGTAATTATTGTTCTACTCTGTTTTCAACTCTGAGAGACAAATCGGTGCAAAGTCTTGTCGCACACCTTGTTTAAGTTTTAGACATCCGCGGAATAATTTGTTTTGAATGGCAGACATTGTTTTATCACCTGGGCTCATTTCAAGCCCTCACTTTCAGCCCTGGAATATCATTTTACTTCTCAATGGTGGAAGTTTTCGCTCTCACCACGAGATGTTGACATTACAGTGGCTCCCTCTGTTGGTGATTGTAAACAGACTGATTGAATTAATGGACAAATAAAAGGAGATAGAGGGAAAAAAGGAGAGAAGCACTTGCGAGGAGCATTTGGGAGTACTTGTCAGAGTTAACGAGAGAAAGTTGTATTTTCTTAAAAGTGCTCAATTACCTGTGTCAGGGCCGTGTTGCAAAATGTAGATTGAACCGAAAATAAACACGAGGAATCGATTTGCTCACTCTTGCCCTGTTTATTTCTCTTTCAAACTGACAACTTGCTTACTTTGATTAACTGAAAAAGGCTTTAAAATGTTGAGTGAAAGTCAAGGATTTTCAAATCAGCAGATATATTGGACATTATTTAAAGATAGCTGCAAAGTAAATATTATCATTTAGTGTATACAAAGTATTATGTTTATCTTTGTTCTTTGTTTCTACATGCATCACAAAGTAAACAGATAGCTGTGAGAATGTGGAAAGAATCTTACATCATCACTTCTTGCCCGATGATATTAACAGGAGTATCTGTTACATGTAGGGGTAGAAAGACTCTCGAGTTTTGTTTTATCCGACAGAGCTATAAGCTCATCCCTGCTCATAGACCTCGACAAAACACTGCAAATGTCAAGATCAGTATGAAGATGTGAATGTGTAACCGTTTTATTCTAAGTGAGATGAATGTGAACTGTTTGGCTTGTCTGCTTGTTCTGGGGTGAGTGAGTAGGTTTAGGTCTTTTATTTGTTTGTTTGATTATTAGTTGTTTAACGCCGCACTCAGCAATATTTCAGATATATGACGGCCGTCTGTAAATAATTGAGTCAGGGCCAGACAATCTTGTGATCGACATGGGCATCGATCTTGGCTATTGGGATATGATGACATGCATCAACGAAGTCAGTGAGAATGACCACCCGATCCCGTTAGTCGCCTCTGACAACAAGCATGGGTTGCTGCACAATATGTGTTCTGCCAACTCGGCATGTTTTTAATGAAGGTGCTCACGTGATTTGATGCTTGTGATTTGATTCAGGGAAGAAAGATCTGTTTTATTACAACATAGATTTTTATTATCAACCAGATCATCTTGACTGGGCGCCGCAAGTGAAATTGAAATGAGAGGTGAAATCTGATTGGTCAACAGGAGGGACATAGAAGGGACAAAGCCAGTGGTGGTGCTACGATTGAGCCCAGAAATGCCAGTCTAGTTCTGCAAGGGTGGAAACAGGACTTTTACAGTCAATTAACTCCCCTGCCTTGGAAAGAAGAAGGATGTGATGGATAAAAATTGTTTTCTCACTCACCATCTTCACTCACCGCCATTCTGACCCTCCAAACCCCATCCTGGAGCCTTCCATGACAAACTGGTTCCATCTGTTCAGAAATAGCTGTATAGGGGTCTTTAAACGCTTTACTTCAGCATCACTTTACTTCAGCAAACATTTCATCCGTCAACCATGCCCAGGTCCCGTGATGATGAACTAGTCCAGATTTACCCCAGTTGTGACCCTTGAGAGGAACACTGATGCCTTACTTCTGTGCTCTAAACAAGTCTACAGTCAGACAGTTGATGATAATTTTGCTTCCTACTTCTGCAGAGGCAGTTGTGACTAATTACCTTACCTTTGCTTTATTAAACACGCAAACATCTTTGAATGCTCTGCTTATCATTGCTCTCGCTTCTGACCTTTGCTCTGCCCACCTGCTTATCATTGCTCTCGCTTCTGACCTTTGCTCTGCCCACCTGCTTATCATGGCTCTCACTTCTGACCTTTGCTCTGCCCACCTGCTTATCGTTGCTCTCGCTTCTGACCTTTGCTCTGCTCACCTGCTTATCATGGCTCTCGCTTCTGACCTTTGCTCTGCCCACCTGCTTATCATGGCTCTCGCTTCTGACCTTTGCTTTACTCACCTGCTTATCATGGCTCTCACTTCTGACCTTTGCTCTGCTCACCTGCTTATCATGGCTCTCGCTTCTGACCTTTGCTTTGCTCACCTGCTGATCATTATTTTGCTGCTCACTTTACACTGCTTACCTTTGCAATAGCTGTTCACCTTTGCTCTGCTTACCATTGCAATAGCTGTTCACCTTTGCTCTGCTTACCATTGCAATAGCTGTTCACCTTTGCTCTGCTTACCTTTGCAATAGCTGTTCACCTTTGCTCTGCTTACCATTGCAATAGCTGTTCACCTTTGCTCTGCTTACCATTGCAATAGCTGATCACCTTTGCTCTGATTTCAATTGCAATAGCTGTTCACCTTTGCTCTGATTACCATTGCAAAAGCTGATCACCTTTGCTCTGATTTCCATTGCAATAGCTGATCACCTTTGCTCTGATTACCATTGCAATAGCTGATCACCTTTGCTCTGATTACCATTGCAAAAGCTGATCACCTTTGCTCTGATTTCCATTGCAATAGCTGATCACCTTTGCTCTGATTACCATTGCAATAGCTGATCACCTTTGCTCTGATTTCAATTGCAATAGCTGATCACCTTTGCTCTGATTACCATTGCAAAAGCTGATCACCTTTGCTCTGATTACCATTGCAAAAGCTGATCACCTTTGCTCTGATTTCCATTGCAATAGCTGATCACCTTTGCTCTGATTACCATTGCAATAGCTGATCACCTTTGCTCTGATTTCAATTGCAATAGCTGTTCACCTTTGCTCTGATTACCATTGCAAAAGCTGATCACCTTTGCTCTGCTTACCATTGCAATAGCTGATCACCTTTGCTCTGATTACCATTTCTCTAGCTGTTCACCTTTGCTCTGATTACAATTGCAATAGCTGTTCACATTTGCTCTGATTACCATTGCAATAGCTGATCACCTTTGCTCCGATTACCATTTCTCTAGCTGTTCACCTTTGCTCTGATTACCATTGCAATAGCTGCCCACCTTTGCTCTGATTACCATTGCTTGAGCTGTTGTTCAGTTTTCCTTTGGTCTGTTCAACCCTGTCAGTCCCCTGCAGCTGTATAGTGTACACATGTTCTCCAGGCATCACATGGCTGAAACACCTTGTTCATATCCAGGACTATTTCAGGTCTGAAATGTACAACAATGTCTATTTCAAGAATGAGTGATGTTAATAACTGCCAGTCAACTCCTGCGCTTCTTCCACAGGACTGATAACCTCCGACATAGTTTCAAAGTTTGGGGGATGCAATTAAGCTATTCCAGTATCTCCGACAGTGTTGCGTACCCCGGGAGATTGATGATTATTGTTTGTGAATTGATGCCAGAAATTAGTGTGGGTTGCAGGGGCCTTGATACAACATATAAATCCCAAACTCTTATTCCATCATCAGGTTGATCGGATGCATAGAAAATACATGTGTTTGAGCTAAAAACAGTGCCGTTGTTAAAAAAAACAACATGCTATTGGGGAATGAAACGTGTATCACACTGTTAGAAAGAGGATGAGGTGATCACATCACAAAATCTTCTGCTACGCTGCCTGTTAAGGGCTTGATGGGGAGAACAGGTTCCCAGCTAACAATTTCACGTTGTGACAACGTTGTGTTTACGTTGTGGCAACGTTGCGGATGTTACGTCCATATAACGTTATTCTGTGGACTCCCATTTATGTTGTCACAACGTCATGGCCTAACATTGTGTTACGTCATATTCACGTCGTCACAACGTTATGATGACGTTGTATTTTACGTTGTGGGAACGTTGTGATAACGTTGTGTTTGCGTTGTGGTAACGTTGCGGATGTTACGTCCATATAACGTTATTCTGTGGACTCCCATTTATGTTGTCACAACGTCATGGCCTAACGTTGTGTTACGTCATATTCACGTCGTCACAACGTTGTGATGACGTCGTATTTTACGTTGTGGGAACGTTGTATTTTTACGTTGAGGGACCGTTGTATTTGATGTTGTGGTTATGTTGTATTTTACGTTGTGGCAATGTTATAATAATGCGTCCCTACAATGTTATTCTGTGTACTACCATGGACGTTGTCACAACGACGTGAAATAACTTTGTGTTACAAGGATGATCATGATACGGTTGTGACCATTCCACACTAAAATGTAAAAACAACCCCAAAACTTGTTCCGGAAATGTTTTAGGATATGCTTTAGTCACGTGAATGTGTATGATTCGAGATACCTTTTACCAATATTTAAAAACCAGGGCGTCGAATGGCCCGGTTAACAGTGAGTTAGATCGTGTTTTGCTAACAATGTTCAAAATGTGAAAACACCCCTCAGCTGTTAACTAGATACATGATTTGACTATAACAAAGTCAGACACCATTACCCTTTAGGCTTGTACTGACAGAAACAAAAAAAAAAAGAATGGCAGACATTGCAAGGGGTTGACCATGTGATATTTTCTGGGGAGGGTCGGGTCCTGGAATATTATCGAAAAAATATATTGTCACCGAAAATTCTTGACAAAAATAATTACGGTTCAGACTGGTGAAAAAAATGCCTGCCACAAAAAAATGACATAGATCTAGATGCAAGGTGCTTATCTTCAGGCTCATAGAGTTAAAGAAAATCATATATCTGCTTTTGTAGCTGTGACCGAAAACATATGTAATCTCCATAGAAAAGTTCCAGGTCCCCACCTCCTTGAATATTAAATGGTCGGTCTCTAATCAAGTCCATATAGTATTCTTCAACTTTCAGTCATGCGAAGTCACCATTCAACAAAGAACTCCAAGACACATTTGCGTTGACATTTTATTATTTTTAGATTATAGAAAATGTATACACTTTTCGAAATTATTGAATGCCAGAATCTTCTTTCTTTGGTGTTCACTTCCACTTCCCTGAAATACAAACAGCTTAATAAATCTCGAGCAGGTATATGAAAGATTTCGTATGACGAGAAACATTCATTTGGAGATAAGGTTTTATCAATATTCAAACTATAATGTATAATTCAAGTGACTGATGGAAACAAATTTTAACATTCATTCAGAGACATCAAGAATCAGGTTGAATACAAAACGTGGTACGAGCATAGATTTATATAAATAGATCTACATTCTTAGCATTCATTCCAAGCAAAAAAAAACCCACCAATTAACATGGATATAGACAATGGAATGTAACCGTAAACAATTGTACTTACGTTAACATAATTCACAGCCCAGGTTTTTTTTGGTGTGTTCCTCAATGATTCAACATTCTTGATTTTATCTCCTGGAATGGTCGTGTAACATTTTCCCCCTTGCTGCAACGAAAACAAGAAAAAAAGTCAAAACTAAAACTATATTCAATAAGCATACATTTAGATCTGTAGTCTAAACAAAAAGATAACATACATTGTATAATTGCCTAAAATTTAGGAAAACTGTAAATCTAAAGTCTTCATATATTATGTTAATAAACGTAGTAAGTATATGATACTTGGTTCTCTGAAACGTTTTGGCAATGAGAGAGAATAAAATGGTGATCGAAAACTGAACGAGTAAGTTCCAGTGCTAGCTACGAAATCGTACTGTAGCTAGATCTATATAAACAGCGCTGCGATTAAGATGTGATTTAGGAAATTTAGGAAAACTGTAAATCTAAAGTCTTCATGTATAAGGTCCGATCGGAAATAAACTCAGGCTACAGATATAAGTAACAAAATTATGAGTACCATCATAAAAAAAAACACCTAATGTAATTTGGTTTTACATATACACCGGTCTGACAAACCAGTGATTGTTATAGGGCCTAGTGAGCCACGTCTCACAACCTCTGTCAGAGTACAATGACACACAATCATGTTAGTACAAACATGGTTTGTTGGGGACCTTTTCTAAACCGGAATCCAAACGGGAACAGATATATTTGACAGGCATTGTAGCTAATTACGACTCACATCTTCATCGCAGCGCTGTTTATATAGATCTAGCTACAGTACGATTTCGTAGCTAGCACTGGAACTTACTCGTTCAGTTTTCGATCACCATTTTATTCTCTCTCATTGCCAAAACGTTTCAGAGAACCAAGTATCATATACTTACTACGTTTATTAACATAATACAGTTCAATATCGTTAAATATAATTCTGTAGTATGGTAGCCTACCTGGCAACATACACAGATCGAAAACCGAACGAATATGGTTGCTATCAATTCCATTGTATTTTTCATTGGTGCACATTGACTAGATCTACACCTATCTCACCTTAATAATCAACAAACGATGACCAAATCACTGACAATGTATGGTGATATTTAACTTTTGATTATCGACTAGCTTATCATCACCAGCGAGAACAATACCGCAAACACCCCGTTATAGCGCGTGACGAGACTCGTTTTACTTTTGCTCGTTTTCATTAGAAGGGAGTCGGACATAGATCTAGTTATCGGAAAATGATGAATTGATTCTTTTTTGGGAAATATTAAAAATACACATGATAAGCGCCTTGCTCAAATAAACTTTATAGACAGCACCAACAACCATATGATCCACATTTAGGCTACTTCAGTCAGTGCTAATAGGGCCTTTTCGGGAACAACAAGTATGTTTCTGTCTCTTCCCGAAAATACAATTTTTCATAACATCATTGAGCCCTTTAGACTAGGGTTATAACTAGCAGCCTACAGAGAGTCGATCTGAAAATACTTTCATTGTTTTGATTCCCTCTCTTCGCTGTATAAGAGAAATCTACTCAACCTTTCCCATGGCCTGAATGAGCCACATTGTTTCACAAAAATCAAAGTCAGAATATTCGTACATGTAAACTTTCAGATTTCAGCAATAACACGGAAGAAATGGCGATAACTGTCAGTGGTCAGTAGGCGATGCATACGTTAGGCCTATTTAGGCCTACAGGCCTTATACGCTTACGATCGAAACCCGAACATAATATGACGACCACAAAACGCCGCCAGACTGAATTCTGGTCAAACATAAACCTACTGCTTGCCCTTGGTAACTACCCTTGGTATCCATAAAATAATAATATGGTAAAAAGTCATGGGCTTCCTTCACCTCTATATACATCACGTTCTGTGTATCAAATATTACTATCAACACTGACGCTCAGCTCAGTGAAAGTGACTGGCAAACTAGACTTCTACATTCTAAACCCCGCCACTTCTGAATAATACGATACATTTAAATCATTTGACTATCTGCATGTACAGAAACATATCAACAAGCGGAGACTGCTTTTGAAAAATAACTTACCTTATCCGAATTCACAGATCATCTGTCCAGTTCCCGTTGCTGCACAATCACTTGGTTGTAATATATCCAGAGTGAGTTTGAACTAAGATGGCTGGTGACAACAAATCTTCCGCAACAATGTGACGTCATTTTGACGTCACTTCACGAGGCAACAGGCTAAACTTTTCAGCAGTCGCTCTCACGCCGCAAAAAATGCGCGCCAATGTGTTTTTAACTGTAATTTTGCTTTAGACAACATTTAGTAGACAGATAACTTCGTTCATAGATATATATGTTTAAAATAAATAAAACTACGATATGGTAGATCTACAAGTGGTTTCCTAAACATCATTTACAAAAAGTGTTGTAATGTCCAAAGCATAACGTTATCACAACGTTAATTTGCAACGTTGCTGTTACGTTGTGGAATAACGTTACAATGTAACGTAATACTAACGTTGTAATAGAGATACGCAATTAGGTTCTGGGAATTTTAGTATTAAGAGATGAAAATTCAAATGCCGAATATACAGAAAGGTAATGCATTACTGCCTTGGTATTCTGACAAATTCATGTTGATTTTGATAAAGCAGTTCTATTCCTTTATGACTATCAAGAAGCAAACTTTATAACGTTTCACCGACGTTTCAGAAACGTAGTTACAAAACGTTGTGCGATGTCCGATGCACAACGTTTTCACAACGTGAATGTGCAACGTTGTTATAACGTTGTGAAATAACGTTGCACGTTGACGTTATAATAACGTTGTGACAACGTTATTTCACGACGTTACCAATCCACAACCTTTCCACAACGTTGTGACAACGTCGTGTGTTAGCTGGGTTCTCACTTTGTGGTCATAAGACGAGGATTGGTTGGTCAGGCTGTGATCTTGCTGAGTGAGTGGTGGCCATTATATCCGAGTGACATGGATCAGTGCTCTTGTTTTCAGTCATGGGTTGATCCAGGCTCAGTTATTTACAGGCAACAGTGATACAGTTTGAATAATTTGATGGGCAAAATCCTTGTCACGTGGAGAATGATTTTTTTTCTAATTTAGGTTGATATTGACACCACTTTGATGTAAATGTTTATCAGTTCCATCCCTCCCTCAATCCCTCCATCCATCCATCCATCCCTGCCTCCCCCTCTCTCCCTCCCTCCCTGCCTCCCTCCCTCCATCCTCCCTGCCTCACTCACTCTCTTCATCCATCCATCCATCCCTGCCTCCCCCCTCTCTCCCTCCCTCCCTCCATCCTCCCTGCCTCACTCACTCTCTTCATCCATCCATCCATCCATCCCTGCCTCACTTTAAAGCTTGTCAAAACCTTTTACTTTTGATCCCATTATGTTGGTGAGATGCAGAAGAGTATTATTCTGATGGAAGACTTGATATACTGACAGAAAATGGAATCAGAACTTAATATTTAACCAGTCCCTCTTTCCAATTCCTCCTTCTTTCTCTCCCGAGGGCCACAGGGCATCAACTTCCCATAAAGCAGAGAAACATCTCCCTGGGTATTTATGGAAAATAAACAATAAATTATAAACACAAGTTAATTCCCTGCTGTCTGGAGTATAAACTGGAGGCTTTCTCACGTCTTTGTGGCGAGAACCGGCCTCTTTTGTTTACTGGAGTCCAGATTAATAAGTGGTGTTTTGACTGTTTTCCAACACTGATGATGGGCCGATGAAATGTTCGCCTTTTTATGTTATATAGTCTGTCACCCCTGTCCATTTCCGCTTCGTTATCAGCTAGCTGACAAATATAATTTTCTTATCAGAATATTATCATGTTTGGAGGAGGATGCAGCAAGGGGGTTCTGAAGCGGTGATTAATCTCTTTGTATAGCCAGCGTGACAATTATACATCTATCATATCTTGTTATGGTGTCTTAGCTGTTTGTACATTTAGTGGGTGTATATGAACAATAAAATTATATCTTATCTTTTATCATCGGAATGATTTTGTTGAATCGGAATAATTAAAATTATTAATATTCTGATATTGGTCTTAACTTAAATATATGTCATTTTTTACTTTCATTCTTAGGCTAAAGAGGACAATATTTTGCTGGGAAAATGAGTTTATATGAGAATTTTAAAAAAGGAAATTGCTGTATTTAAAATGCAGTTATCGGTCAATAAAATGGCTGCCCATTTTGTCTGGGAATTAAAATTGGTTTTGAAATTTTGTTAATCAGATGAAAATAGTACTTGATGGCATACCTGAAGCATAGTTAACAGAACTGTGTAACACAAGATAATATTTATTTTATTCAAGGACAGTAGCATAATGACAACTTAATGACAATTTAATGACAATTTAATGACAATTAACATAAGATGAATTTCAGGTAATCATTTTGGGCCCAATTATATATTCACGGGGAGAGTACAGAGTTTCTACAAACAACCAACAAGAAAATTTATATGACACTTGATTAGACAGACCCATGAAGATCCGGGGTAGAATAGGTCTTTAGCAACCCATCCTTGCCATAAAAGGCGACTATGCTTGTCGTAAGAGGCGACTAACGGGATTGGGTGGTCAGGCTTGCTCACTTGGTTGATGCATGTAATTGTTTCCCAATTGAGTGGATCGATGTTCATGATGTCAATCACTGGATTGTCTGGTCCAGACTTGATTATTTAGAGACTGCCGTCATATAGCTTGAATATTGCTGAGTGAGGTGTAAAACAACAAATGAACAAACTTGATTAGACACAGATAATCAAACTGAGCATAATGCCGTAAGCAAAATATAATTTTTAATTCAACAGAGAGGAGATCTGTCTTTTTAGAAACATTTGAGATACAGTTTGGGAAGTTACAGATGCAGAGCTTGCATGAGGGTTTAATAGCATCTTGAGATTTCTGAATATGTGATATAGGAAATATAGTGAATATAGATAAAATTGAGCTGTTACTCTTTCACCCATGAATCGTTGTGTGGTTGTTCCAGACTCGGCTATTTACAGACTGATAGCATGTTGGTAGACTTGCACAAGTCTCTTGGCAATAATTATTAGTTTGAATCACAATATCTAGATTATGTAAATAATAAGAACAAGTTGTCCCTAAAGAGCCGTGGATCATCAGATCTAGACTTGCCTATTTGGAAGAAAGAATTACTAAACATCCATGGACTTTTTTTTCTGTACAGCCTTGGAGCAAGGCTATCATGTTTGTGGAATAGTGCTGACCGCAGAGTTAAACAACATTCACTCACTCACTCACTCACTCACTCACTCACTCTCACTCACTCACTCACTCACTCACTCACTCACTCACTCACTCACTCACCCACCCTCACTCACTCACTCACTCACTCACTCACTCACTCACTCACTCACTCACTCACTCACTCACCCTCACTCACTCACTCACTCACTCACTCACTCACTCACTCACTCACCGGAGCTCCCACGCACCCACTCACTCACGCATGAATGTAACCAAGTTATTAAATAGTAGCTGCACAGAGTGTGGTTATTAAATATATGTTTATAACATATATCAGACCTTGTAGAATTCAAGATTGTTTCAATTCAGGATATTTATCTTTAATTTTTCAAACATGTTTCATCTCATGTCAATCCTCACAATATTCGAAATGAGCATTTTATTAATATCATATTTAGTTATGATAGTATATCCGTTCAACCCTTCAAACAAACCTCCATCAGGATTTATCAAGAATCTGTTTCATTGGGATGACGTGCAAGATCTCATTCAGATGGCGACATTCTGAGGGTCGTGGGAACACGTGAATGTTCCCAAGTCTGTACACACAGGCAAATGGAAGGCCCACAGGATGTGAAACTAGGCTCCGTTATCTGGCGAGCTTAATAAGCTCACTTGTAGGATACTTGTAGGTGTAGACATCATTTTGACGAATTATAATCTCACATGGATACGTCATGGTCAAATGTTATCGGGTGAAAAAGGGTGAAATGTCTTAACAAGCAATAACTTGGTCAATGATGTTTAACCAGTGATGTTACTGTGATAAGATAAGATAATATTTATTGCAGAAAACATTCCATTACGGAACAGATGCAATATTTAAGTGACAAAACAGTATGATTCATACATACATACATATGTTTGTTTGTTTGTTTGTTTGTTTGTTTAACACGACATTCAGCAATATTCCAGCTATATGACAGCGGTCTGTAAATAATCGACAATCCAGTGATTGACATCATGAGCATCAATCCACGCAATTGGGACATGATGACATGCATCAACCAAGTCAGTGAGCCTGACCACCCGATCCCGTTAGTCGCCTCTTTCGACAAGCATAGTCGCCTTTTACAGCAAGCATGGGTTGCTGAAGACCTATTCTATCCCGGATCTTCACAGGTCACATATGCATGTAAAGACATGGATACATACCTGAAAACACAAAGAAATCATTTTAAGAAAATATCAGTATTACAGATTTGATAATATTATAAATAAAATGTCATAGGTTGAATAAAATCAATGGGTATTTATTTCTAGAAATTATAGATATGGAAACATATACAATTGATGTTGATGGCTTCACAATGTGAGAGGATGAAGAGAAATAATTTGTTTCATGACTGTGGACATTTACATTTTGTGTGGATAATTTTCTAAAGAGTATATTTCTTTCTTGTGTGTGTTTGGTACAGTGAAGTTCGTAGGTTTTTTCATCATCTATGGTTGAACATGTAGAGCATAGCCTCTGATGTAGTGGTGTTGGTGGCTTTGTATGTCTTCCAAGTTCAATATTTAATTTATGGTTACTTAATCTTAGTTTAGAAAAGTGCACTCGATATTTTCTTACTTTACAGTGACTGAGAGAGGGTTCTAATTTTATTTCATTTTTAACTATCCTGTATGTCCAAAGTTTTTTGACTGTTTTTAGTTGCTAAAGCATCCTTTATAGAGGGAGTCGAATTAAGACTTTATTGTATCTCTGAATGTTGGCGATAAGAAATAGGAATGACCGTATTCGACATAATAAGCGCCACGCTCTAATAAGTGCCCACGGCAATATTTGCTTATATATTGGCTAGTGAACTATCTCATTTAGAACCCCTTCCCATTGATCAATGTACATGACTTATTTATTCGCGTATAATACACACTCGTGTGTTATATGCACCCTTAATTATGTGCAATTACATTCTGGAAAAATATATCTGTCGTATATAAACATTTCAGACTGTCAGCATAAACCACGAAATGTATCTTTCAACTCTGTTTTTTTTCACCAAAATAATATTCTAATGAGAGCCCCCTATTACTAATTTTGAGTGCGCCCTGGGCACTTATTACGTCGAATACAGTATTAGTACTGTGTAGATAAGAGGATAGAATCCTAGTTCTGTGTGATGGATGTAGCTTGTCTTGTGTGTATTAGAAAACTAATTAATATTTTAGTCTCGTCAGCTCATATACTATACAATGAATATATGGTATATGCAGGTATGCA